GCAAGCTTATTTTCGTGAAAACACGTCGACGGTAGGCCGTGACTGGTTGACTTTCGTCAAGTTCGTTTGACTTGGTTCTATTTTGGCTCTATTATGCGGCCCTGCCCCCCTATTTGTTCGCTGCTGCACGAGAAAGCACGTATCCGTATTGGACCGAGGCTGCAGGATCACAGACGCCGTGAAAGGAAAGCCGATGGAAGCGGGGATAGCGGACTGGCTGGAAAAGTGGATTTCGTTGGGTCGGGTTGGGAGTTGCGGATGACGGGCCGCGTAAGCGCGGGAGCCCCGCCAATGCGCCTCCTCGAAGACGCCAGTGCCTCCTGGAAGACGAGCGGACAAAGATCTTTGTCGAGCCCGGCTGTTTTCCCTTGTTTCGCGCGCTCCTCGGCGCCCGGGAAATCGACACTGGCGGGCCTCGTTCATCGGCCTTTTCAGCTTCGGCGGATAGCTGCCACAATGGCGCTCCATCGCGCACTCGACAACGGCCGCCTGCTCCGCTCGCTCGCTCGCTCATTGTCCCCGCTCTCTTTCTCTACCCTCCTTCCGCATATATAAATGTCGAGCGGCCAGTCCACTTATGCATTATTCTCTATTAGCTGGCTTCATTAATAACAATTTTCCCGCCCGACACCGGCTGACGTTTACAAATTCATCAATATTTTCGAGCGACTCTCCGACCCTCTCTCCTGCCCAGCCGTGATTTTATTGGCGCGACCGTCATCCGAAAATCTTCGGAGCGTTTCAGGCGTTTCAGACGTTTCGAACGTTGAAGGCATCGTTAGCTCCGAGCGCTTCCGCTGCTTTTATCGGGAAAGCGGCGGCGCCTCTTATCTGCGCCCCGATGCCTCCGGAGAGAACTAGCTACTGTTTGACCTCGTCGGCCGCTCTCCGACACATTTTCATTGTTTGCAACTGCATCGACGTCTCAACGCTGGAGATACGGTGCCATGGCAGTCTTTTCATTCGAAAATATCGCCGGCCGACAGTCGGAATGTTTTCCGATTTTCCCAGGAAACAACTTGAAGATTATCAGTTCAATTGAGAGCGCTGCTGGTGAAGGTGGTGCCGGTGGCCAATGGAAATCCAAGAAAAAGAAGCGGCCGGCCCGTAAAACGTCAGTGATTTACGACAGCTCCCGCGAAGTGACGGGATGAGTATCGAAGTTACGGGATGAAACAGGTTTTCCACGCTCGCCTCGGGATTTGAAGTTGCGCGAAGGCGGTTTGGGAAACGCAACGGCTGCGGCGGAGCAGGCCGGGAAAAATATTCTCATGCGCGCCAACGGACGACGATGAGATGAGGCATCAACCCTCGGTCTGCTCGACGGGCATCCCATTAGAGCTGCATTCCACACTGAATGCGTCGGGGTCAGGGGGTGGGGGGGGGGGGGGGAAGCGCTGCACTTCGCCCAGATCTCGTCGCGTCATCCTTTGCGTGCTGCCTTTCGAAGAGTCGCGCACGGAACTTCATTGTCCGCCCGCACCTACCGGGCGCCGAAAGCCACGCTAGCACGCGCCGTTCCTTCGGCCGCTGATTTATTTGCGCGCCCGGATGTCGTCTGCTCCGGCAAATTTGATCTCCTCGCACTTCGTCCGTTCGCGTTCTGGCCTCTGCGCAAGACCGATCCAATGCACCTGCGCGTTCCTCCTTTTCGCGCGATTCTCGAGAGGACGCGTACTTTTTCCAGTGAACATGTCAAGGCTAAGGTGAGTGGGTAGAGGTCTGCTCTATTCAGAGGTAACAATAAGACTCGCGGCTTACTTTACTTGGTCCGCGTGTCGCAATACGCATACAATGAAGTTGCCTTTCGATGCCGACCAAATGGATTTGGTCGAAGCAATCGTTTGCCAACTTTCGTGCGCGAGATTTTCAGTTACTTTTTTAAGGACAAAAGCTTATTGTCGTCAAGGAGATAACAAAGAAATAAAGCGATCGCAGTGGACTCCATCCTCGAAGCTAGTTTTACTTACGTTATTTTTCCAGAGATTTCAAAGTGACGCGCTTGCTTGAGATATATCAACGGGTTTGGTCCAAGTGCACGTAGTCTTCGATTTTTCTTCCATTGCATAAAACATAAAACAACGGACATAACGACAAGCTCATCGGATTTACGCAAGAGAATTAGCCAGGTACTAGCGTGAATAGTAAAATTATCGTCCGCACCGAAGAGAACAAAGAGCCGAGAAGAGAGCGGGCTTGACGGCAGCGACGGCAGCGGCGGCAGCAGCAGTAGCAGCAGTAGCGGCAGTGGCAGTGGCAGCAGGCAAATTGGCGAAGCGAAAGTGTCATTTAAATGAACGTAGGTAAGCAAAGTGTGCCGGCAGCGGCGCGCGCCGTGACGCGGAACAAAGCGCAACCGAGATTTTATTTTCACAAGAAGCGAGCGCGCGAGTCGCCGGTCGGAAGGGGTTCGTTTAAAGGCCACGCCAGATGTAATCGAAGATGGTCGGCCCTTCGACAAGTCCGAGAAAGGATTTCAGTTGGTCAAGTCGAGAGGCATGTGGGCGGAAGGGACGGCGGTTACGAGCGGTCGACGACATCGCGACCATCGACGGCGATAACGAAGGGAGAAGACGACGCGGAAAACTACGCGCGACCGTTTTTTCGAGTCCAAGCGTGCCTTGGGTCTTCGATCGCCACGGGTGAGCTGCGCCCAGCTCTACGTTGTCCCTAAAATACGCTCCGCTTTGAAGTCACGCCAAGATTCTTTGTGTGCCTATTCCTCGCGAGGCCTGAAAATGCTTTTTTCTCGGCTGAATCAGTTTCTCGAGCTGCGCGCTGTCCTTATTACCAGCTATGAAGAGACGACCCTTGTGCCGCGATCTTACGTCGCATAGCTCCTTTTTCTTCAAACACAGTCGATTGTGAACAAGTGGAAATGACGTGCTTTGTCAGTCGATTTTTAATGGCTCTCTTTGTACACTGCATTTTATGACTTTTCCAGCAACTTCTGACCGGATGACAAATCTAAGTTTTCCAACGAACAGTCGACGATATGTATATAATAGAATTGGTTCGGACGTTCAACTCAACGCATAGACGAGCGGTTCGTCGACTTTTCAAGTGGTAGATCGCTGGGATCAATTTCGTTGTTTTCAAGTAGTTTTACTACAAACGAACCGATAGATCAGAGATTAAGCCAAGTTGAAAAACAAAGCACGACGAAGGCGAGTACCAGAAAAGCCGTAAACCGTCTGTCAAGGAGCGACGAAGGAAAGATAGAGCACAGAGGAGAAGCGTCAAAGGGAAGGAAAAAGTAAGCTCGGCTGAAGATAAGGCGTGAAGTCGAAGAAGCGAGCTCTTGAAAAGTATTTCAACTGAAGTAGGAGCGGGAAAAAGGGAAAAAGGTACGTGTGTCAGTTTCGGCTAGGCGCGGACCGCTGGGAGAGCAGGTCAGGTGGGGCATTGGTCCCGCAGGTGCAGGTATAAGCGGGCATCTTTGTTGTCTCGCTGTCTCGCTCGCACTCGAGATAAAAAAGGACGGGGGGTTAAGGGGGGGGGGGGGGGAGCAAGCATTCCGACGGCAGAGCCTGGACGCGTCAACGGAAAAGGTTGCGCAGGAGCTTCAAGCCAGATCGTACGCGCGAGGCGGACCTGCTTTACGAAGGGGGCATCGCAAACACGGGCTTTTCCAGGAATAAGCCAGCCGCGCGTGAAAGGCGACGAGTCGATGCGAGCAGAGACGGCACCGCGGACGCCGGATTTTCCACGCGCGCGTGTCCAAGCGAGGGGGCGCGAATTAATACCTCTGGGAACCTCGTGCGGCTACCCCGCCCGCGTCCTTTGTGCTCCAAGCCGCATGCTGCGGCAAGTCGATAAACTTCAGTGCGCCATGGGCCTGCCTTCAAATCAAACTTCGCCCCCGCTTTCTTCAGCGCTCATCCTAACTCTCGCTTCGTCTTGCTTCACGGCCAAGGTTTTCGACCCTTGTCTTCGACCTTGACTACCGCCTCGCCAACCTATCCAGCAAACGTCGACGCATCAACAGCAATTTTTACAAATAATGCGGCTCGCCACCGATTCAAACAAAACGTAGCACAGTCCTCGCGATGTTCTATACAGCGACGGCAGAATTTTCACCAACACTACATTACAATCAAGTGTGATAATTAATCCGAGTCAATTCCTTGTTTTCCATGCTGCTCAAGAAAGGTTTTTTCCCCTTGTACAATATACAAAAACATAACAATCAAAGTTTTGATCAAACGTTGGGAATCGCTTGATACAACAAAAAAATCGCTATGAAAAATCAAACAGGCCTTTATTTCATCCCCGTTTATAAAGGGAAGCAGTAGAAACGTTGTGAAGGGGAAATATACGCAACTGAAAATCCCTCGGCACAATGAATGGAAAACGCACGAAGAGAAAGAGAGGCGACTATAGCAACAGCACGTACAAAAAATCGATGCTCACTCGTAAACTGCGTTCTCATGCGCTCACCCCGTATTCAACTCGTAGAAGCGCACCGCTTAAATGTGAGATATTTTCTGTACAAAATATTACACGTTTTTCTGCGGTGTAACGGACAATTTTCTATTCAACTTCACAGCAATATAAGCTTTTTTTACTGTTGAATAATTGGCTATTACGTATTCATCCGAAAAAGTTTCTTTCTATTTCACTCGATAGAAACATCTAGCACTGTTGCAATAGAAGAAAATATGCCCCCAATAATAAAATCATTCATCAATCTACAACTAATCGTTTTACCATACTCTATTTTAATTATTTCGGAAAGTCAGTTTCTTCTTTCGATAAATTAAACCTAATTAATTTTATTAAATTCAAAACTCTTTATTGACTCAATTTCGCAACTGAACATTATTTCATATCGGATAAGAAAAATTATCTAAACATTAACGTGATTGCATTATTTGTTATATAACTTTATAAATTTTATAACTGCTATTTTATAATGCTAACCATTTCTTTAATTTTAAGGTTAACAGTTTGTACATACAAATAACGCAAATAAATAAATGTATTAATCTTTGCTTTACACAACGAAACTTTTTATAACTATAAATAAAGAATAAACTTGTTACTTTTCATCACTATTGTACTTATTTTATGATTATAAAAATTACATAGATATTACAACTGAAAAAATAATTTTTATGGATTGCAATTGTTTTGCAATAGTTTCAGCAACTTTCCAAAAGCAAATTGGCTTACAATAACTCAAAATAAAACTAAAATTAAGTAATACACATAGAAGTGCTTCTATCATAACATAATAAAATTTCTTTTATAACGTGACTATAATCTAACTTAACATCAGAAGCCTACGATTCATTATCCGGGGATGCTGGCGAACCGTAGTAGGACGGCTTTATCTCTTCTAAAACAAGAAAAATATAACCATATCATTGACAGAGTATGTTACAATATATATAATCTAATTATATGAAAAAATTAATCAACGATTAAGAGAGAATTGACATACAAATCAGTGCATAAACAATATAATCACTTTTTTAATTGTGTGAATAATAAACATTGCTAATTGTAAACCTTTGTTATGTACAAGTAGTTTTTGATTAACATTTACCCGAGATCATAGATCTATCAGATTCAGTTGGCGACGAAGGTGTATATTCGAGTGGAGGGCTCTCTATTCCATTGTCAGACGGTGGTGGAGTAATGATAGCACAGTGAGGGGCTGGGCTAGAAGGTGGACTCAAAGCCGGACTAGAGCTCGGACTGGATGGATGAGCTGGAAATTTTTTCTCGGTGTCGTACGATGGATTTGACGATTGTGAGTCTTGATATACGGGTGAATAAGTTGCCATTTCATCTTCCTCGCCCGGCTCATCGTACTCGCTACATCTTGCTGGTGTATTAGATACAGTGGGATCCCAAGCTCCACTAATACCAGGAGTTCGCGAACCGTCTTGCGACGGTGTCATTGAACCGTAATACCCTGGTGTTCGAGAACCAACTGAAAAAACAATTTGTTTCCATTGATTTTCAAAATACAAACAAATCTAGATTTTAACCGCAATATGGCAGGTCAACACTCACCATCGTACAGGGGCGTTTGAGAACCTTGCATGGGAGTTTGGGAACCATGTACAGGAGTTTGGGAGCCATGCATGGGTGTCTTAGATCCTTCTTTCGATCCATACATTGGTGTTCGGCCGCTTACGCTGTATGTTGGAGTATAAAGTGTCGAAACAGTAGATTCTGCATTTGCTTGTGGAACACTCAATATATGGGAGCGGTCGACCGAAATTGTTTGACAGGGGGAGTGAAGCTCGACTCTAACAGTACTTTCAGTGGCATCTTTTACAAAACCAATGCTTCCTTTATAAGGACCACCTGTGATCCTGATTGTTAATCCAATAAGTTTCTTGTCGCGAATTGGACCAAAAACGCCTCGGTTTTTGTGACTAGAACTCCTACGAATGCAAAAATACGTTGCTACAGGTTTGGATACATAAAAGATTTACTGCATTCTAGCGTAAATTGATGGGAACTTGTAATATTCTATTAACAATTTTTTCTAGTTTACCATATGAATAAACTATTAATATCAGTAAAAATTGCGATATAATTTTATGGTAAATCAACTGTGATAAATTGACAATATAAACATATAGTCTCATGTCAATTTAAATAATCACTGTGTGATTTCTTACACACACCGTATAATATTTTTATTCTATTCTATATAAATATATATATATATGTCCATAAACCAGAACGTCAGAATAAGCAGTAACGAATAAATGTTGGAGAATTTATCAAAATCTAAATAGAATATGATTTCTCCACAACGATAAACTAAATTTTTAGGAAAACTAGTTTCTTGTAAATTATAGTACATGGACAATATAAATCTTACTTGTCTGATCGAACAGGAGATGCATACACTGGGCTAACAACGTCCATCAAGGTGCCTAATTTTTCTCCACCTACTAATTGTAAATGTCTTGTTTTGCAAACAAAGATACCGCCCGTATCGATGTAAATTTTTGAATGTAAAAAGGCAAAATTTCTGTACAAATGCCGTATTTCTCCTTCTCTACCAGAATGTGGCCCATCAACCACTTTGACAATATCTCTTCTTTTAATCTGATTCTGATGCATATCCAGGGCAGTTGTATTTTTATTTTCACGATACTTAAGTAAACTTCCAGGCTTAGCATCGACTATTTTTCCATGCATGGAAAGAACTTGGAAATTTTCACGTTCAAGTCGAACGATAACGCCTACAATTTGCACTTCAAGTTGCACCATATCACCCCATTGAAATTTACCAAGGCTATCAACACCTGTGGCAACGTCTGGGCACAATTGTATATTACTAGCTAATACTTCTAGTTCGTGCATTGATAAATCCGAGAAAAGCACGACGCGTGTTTCTTCAATACGAACAATTAAACCTGTGTCTCCTTCGTATTTACCCTCAAGTACCTATTGTGTAGAAAAGAAACACATTATGTAATTGTTTCTTATTATTTCATGAATTTCGTAATTTTCATTATACTGTATTTATTTACCTTGACATGATCACCTATGGTGAAGTATTTTTTTAATTCATGAGGTAAAAATTCAATAGGATCAGTCAGATCCTTATGACTTGGCTGGACCATAATATTATTGCCATCAATAGATATTATTTTTCCTTGAAGGTGCATTAGTTCTCCTTCACGAACCTCTACTTTATCTCCAGGACTGAATTTATGAAAAACTGTAGAATCTTTAATACTGATGCCTTCGTTAACTGAAATATCGTTTAATTCGATATCTATGCTCTCTGGATTTTCTTCAAAGCTTTCAATCTCTGATAGTGTTGGTTTTACACCATCAGATATAATACCACTAATATTAAAGTTTTTGTACAAAAAGCTGAAAGAAAAAGTCATTTTTTAGTTTATTGTAGCAAAGACATTTTACAGGAACAAACCCTTTATGACTGTAGTGATTTCCTTCAAAAACCAAGTAATCTCCATTACTTGTTACTTCTCCTCCTATGGCACGAACAGCTTCTGCATCAAAATGTTTTGCTGGTGGTTTTGAATTCTTCTTTTTCCGCTTGGGAGCTTCATCATCTATTACTGGCTTTAATGCACCTCTTAGTCTTGCATAATCAATTCTTGGAAGCAATTTCAAATGTACTTTATTTTGGCCAACATCAACATAATCAACTTGTGCAATGTCATCCTTGTACATGCCTCGCTTGATTCTCACCCATTGACCTGACTTCAAATTTATTCGATTTCTTACTCTGAGAACATCAACCATTTCGCTAATAGGAACCATTTGCTGCCTCCAAATGCCTTGTTTCAGGCTATTGATATTTTCTATAGCAGCTTTTACATGCACCTGTTTATATGCTTCTATATAAACAAAACCTTTCACACCATTAGGAACAATGGCACATTTAATAACTAGTGGGTTATCTGTAGTTATAAAATATATGTAATTCCATTTTTGCTATATTATTGCATACAATAAATTATAAACATTGTACCAGTAAATTGATATGTAAGAAATTTTCGGATCAACAACAGGAGTGTGGCATTTTCCTCACCGATACGACATTTAACCAACCAAAGATTTGGATCCTTAACATCTGGCAATAAAGTTTTTTGTGTTATTTCATCACTCATCTCTTCTCCTCCTTCACCAAAATGATGGGATGCAGTTGCTGCATTCGCATATTTGTTACGGAGATAAGCTTCAATTTCCTCTTCCTTTTGTGAACTATAATAAATATTAGAAAATAAAGTATATATTATTAAACATTAATAGATTTGAAATTGAAGTTCCTATACTTACTTCCATATATCAGAAACTCTTCTGTGTCCTTCAATTTCCCTTGCAGTTGGACCAATTTCATCAATTTCATTTTCAACAATTCCAATTTCCTGAGCTCCCTCTTCCCAATCTTCATCTTCTTCAACATCTTCATCAACTTCAGCTTCTTGGATAATAAAGTCATTCACAAGCTTTTTAGGTTTCTTTTTTATTCTATATTGTTCTTCATCGTCTTCCTCATCAGAGTAATTTTCCTCTATAATCAAAGAATAACCATCAATACTCATTTTAAAAGCACTATGACGTTTAACTAGGAAACAAATTAAAATTGTTTAAAAGCAAACAAAAAGAAGCTAAAAATGCCTTCTAAACATTGAAAATTTATTGCGATAACTTATTATTTAATTGCTTATCACAATACATACAGGGTTTCTCGATCGACAGAAAAATTCGTGCAGCTATGTTAAAACGCCTGTCTATGCAAGTTATAACTGAACTATCCCAAATTATAACGTATTTTCGTTAAACAAAAATAACGCATACATACCAGATTCTTCGCTTATTGCTTTCTGTGAATCGACATCATCTTCAGATTTTTTGTCAGGTTCAGAATTTACATCATGATCTTCTTCGTTACTTTTTTCAGAGCTATCGAATATTATAGGAAAATATAATAACAACAGTATGAGATTAATTTTATCATATATATATATTACCCAGAGCTTGAAACACTTGATCGTGATCGATAAGACATTTTTTTCCTAAAGCACTGTCACACAAAGAAAAAGTTTATTTTCTGCAATCCGCTAAAGAGACTGGTGTATGGTGCCTCGTATCAAACGAATAGCTAGATCGTGGCACGCATATTTCGTAGAAGTCAAGCCCAGTAAACAAAGTCACTAAACACTAACAGGAATTAGCCGGCCGGTACGTCTACGGGTGGGGGTCAAATATTATTTTACACATGAACCTATTATAAAGGAGAATATCATGGGAGGGGAATTCTTTACTTCTGCCTGTCTGTCCGAATTGCCTAACATTTATTCTTATAATAACCCTTATCGTGATTTAAATCATTTTTTGCAACAATTCTAAATAGAGTTAAAATGACTATTATACATACTCTACTTCTTAATCGGTAGTATTTAACTTTCACGATTTCATCTAAGTTATTACTCGTCTATTCGTAGCCACGGTAGTAACCTGAAGCAAGTATGCCGAAGACCCATAAAGATTATTTGAGAAAATTTTTTTTTTGTTATTACGTGTTGTGACCATATTTTTTCCAACAGATTTCTTTTGTTTTCAAATTAAAGCGCTGTGAGTCAACTAAGAAAGATTTCTAAGTTATCTTACTTAAGCGATAATGACTGCGAAAGGAAAGGATAAGAAAATTATCCTTATACAATGTTTATATGAGATAAGATTAATAATTAATAGCTTAATAAATCAAGGACCAATTTCAGTTGTGATTTGAATTTACGATAGAAAAATAAAAACAAGGTATTAAATTTCGGTAATAGTTACAGAGGCTACCGGTGGTGGCGTTTTGAACAACATCTCTACTTTTCCCGCCATTTTCGCAGAATAGAGGCGCATACGCACACATTAGACGTACTTTTCTTTTCTCAGACTTTGATGGGATTATTTTTTACTGCTAACAGTGTACAATTACATTGGATTGTTACAATCAAGTGATTACCATTTGATCGAACAGACTTGACGCATTTGGATACCTTTATAACTGGTTCATGGATTTACAAAATGCAACAATCAAGTAAACGATCTAGGGTTGTCAAGGAGTCAATCATCCCATATATAACTGAATCAGTATGTAAGTAGTACTTTTATAATAATCTGAAGATTATAAAAACTACTGTACAAAATTGTTTACATTATAATAGCACAAATGCACTTTTAAACAGTGTCTATAATTTGTAGTTAAAATATCTGAAACACTAAGCAGTATCGGAGAAACTCATAAACTTTTATTAAAAGCCAATGAGATATTTGTAAAGTATTTAGTTGAAGAAGAAAAGAAAAAGAAATCTAAACTTATTATTCAGCCAGAGCAAAATCAAATTCAAGGAGAGCAGACAAATAATAGTAAGAATATATTTTAAAAACTGATCACAAGAATTACAAGTTGTTCTCTTGTACACAACTTTTGCTTCATTTTGTTTAATAGTAACAAACTAATATGCAAATAATATAAAACATTGTTTTTTCAGGCACAGTAGAAAAATAAGCAATATTAAAGATGAATCTAGATAATTCAGAAGTTGTATCTTTTATAAACAACTATTTTGCTTTAGCTGATGGGCTTGTTCCTGAATTTGAATATCTTTTAGCTGAAAATGTTGTATTAGACTGGTTTGGTAAAACAATTAAAGGTAAACACAATGTGACAGCTTTTATGAATATGCATAAAATTAACTCAAGACATGTGTTTAATGAAATTTATTCAAGTGATAATATTGGGTACAAGTAAGTAAATTAGATTGTTCAGAATTTTTTTAATAGTTTTACATACATTACATTTAAAATAAACTTTATCATTTGTAACATTGAATTTTTGTTTTTAGTGGAAAATCTAATTTTAGAAGAAGAAGAAGAGGCAAGTCTAAAAGTGCAAATAACTCTGTGCAAAATGGAAATATTTCCTGTGAAAACAACTTGATTTATCACAGTAGCCCTCTCAATGAAAGTGTTTCATCTAATGAACAATCATTTTCATGTACAAAAAGCTACTCTTCTACTGAAGAAGAACATGGCTTAACATTCGAGTTACATGATGATAGCCTTACTAATATTTTTAAGTTAGAAAATATACAGTCTACGGACACTGAAGAAATAGAACAACAAATTTGTCAAATTGGTCTAGAAGAAAAATCCAACAATCTTTCATCTATAACACTCTTCAAAGAGGCAAAGGAAGCTAAGAATATTAGTATTGTCGAGTCTTCAATGAAATTTGTAGAGGCAGATGGAGAAATATTATTTGCTAAAAAATCAAGACGACAGAGTTAGTAATAATTTAATATAAGTATATTGATTCAGGAATTATTTTTTTTAACTTAAATTTGACTATTTTTGAAGGTATTTGGAACGAATATAAATTACTTTCGTCAATTTCAACACAAACATGGAGGAAACCCTGCAAGCTGCAAATTGCTTATTCTTTACAGAAGGTTTGCCAGACACCTAAATTAACTTCTAATAATAATAACATTAAGTCTCATTGTAAACCAGTTCTAGTTAAAAATCAAACAGAGTTGATGAATTTTGAACAAATAATCGATCTTAGTAATCAGCTTGTGCCAAATGTTAATGATTATGCTGGTTATCTTAGAAATGTTAATATTGAAAGAGAACAAGATGTATTTTTTGATCAATTTAATGAATACTTGTTGAAAAATCAGAGGAGTAATTTGAATACTACACCTCAGTACATAAATAATCAATTAGCTTTGCAAAAAAACATATGTGATGATCAAAATAAATCTCAAAATAATTGTTTCTCTAATTATTCGATTCAAATTATTATTTATGAAGGTAGAAGTCATTGCAGAGCAAATTTATCTGAGAAATTTATATAATTAGTAAACTATATATTTATATATACATAGATGTATGTATGTACGTAGGATAAACGTGATTAATGTCGTTTATCAATGCTTTTAAATGCTATAAGTAAATATTATTACAAGATAATATGTAAAATTATAGTAAAATTTCGATGATTCAGAAAATTGAATAAAGTTACATATATTTATTTTCCTAATAACATCTGATTAAAAATATTTTTAGATGAATCTAACTAACATATGAGGTTGCTAAAAATTAACTTCGAAATTCTTCCATGCAAAGATTTCTGTTTTGAATTATATTTGAGTTATATTGGAATTACACAGTTTATTACAAAGAAAATTTGAGATATATATTTTTATATTTTACAATTTTATACAGTTACTACTTATTTAAGTTTTTGGTATCTGAATTGTAATAGTTTTGTAATTTGGAAATATTAATTCATATTACCGTTTTAATAAAAAAAATATTGATTTCGAATCTCAGATTCAACATTAATGTTAATATAATTAAAATATAAATACCTAGTACATAGTAAAGATTTGAAACATACAACGATTTTACTTTTAAAAACTTTTAAAGTAATTTTTAATATGCCATGTTTTTTACAAATCAGTTCATTACTTGCAGTAATCTTGTTGGAGGAAAATTATAACAAAAATACTGTTTTTTTAAATAAAAAATTCATTTCTGAGTAGTTCAAGGTAAATTGCAGTTTCTAAAGATCAAAAAGATGAACAATTATTCGTCTTTAAAAACATAGAAATGATATTTATCGCAAATATACGTATATAATAATAAAATTAATTAAAAATATTACTTAGCAAATAATTAGGAAATAGTGCTTTAAGTAAAATAAGTACTACTCTTGTAAGTTATTGCATATATACTATTTGAAATATTTGTTTAGGATTTGTCTAAATACACAAATTTTATACTGTTGAAAGGAAATCGCCGATAAAAATGATAAAATGACACTACATTATACAGTGTTATCTCTGCAAGGCCATTATTGGAAAAATAAGACATGAAGAAACTAAAAGCAATAAAAATTATTACTACAAACTTATTCGATAGTTTTATATCATTTATGTTATCCAACCAAAGTAATAAGTTATATAACAGTTGTATACGAATTCATCTGTAATGTTAGTTACTAGAAGACAAGTATCTTTATATATACACATCTAACTGTACAATACTTAAGTAAAAATATGAATTGAACTTGAGTCATATCACATCCAAAGAATCGGTAAATTAAAATGTATAAAATATAACTTGAAACGTAGAATAAAATGTAGTTCTCGAAAAGATTCGATCATTATAGACATCATTATAGATAATAAATAGCTTATAGTACACGTGAATAGAGGTGTAGGTAGTTGAAGAAGTGTTGATTGCCGCCAAAGTAGCCTTGGTATCATGAATTGATGCTGAAAAAACAGCAAATAACAATCGTAAAGCAATAGTTATTTTCTTAAAAACTTGGGCAGAACAGCCGAAGTGAAACGAAAGAAACATTATTTACAAGAAACATTATATACATCGCAAACCAGATGCTAACTACATACAACTAACAATGATAACTAACTAGATATGCATAAAACAGCGATAAAGATCTCGCGATGCATGTACTTGAATTTGCGATAATATTATGATAATAATGATAATAATAATAATAAGAATAATAATAACGATGATGTGCAAAGTGAAATCCTTTTATGAGGCTTGCAGGTACCTCGGCTGCATGTTTGCACATTAGCAGCTAATCGCACAAAATGATTACATAATACATTGTTGAAAGGTGTGATTCATTCAATACTATTTAGTTGATTAGTTGATTCACTTGCTAAAAATCAGTTCAAATTATGGAAAAAGACAGACAAACCGGTACTGAAAATTGATCACTGTTTGAAAAAAAAGTGAAAATAGAGACAGAAATAAAGAATATTGTCAGAGCTCATTTATATTCGGGATCTTCTTTATGCTTTCTCCTAGGATCGTTGGCGTCCAACGTAACAATAACGGGCGGCGATTCTTTAGGTTTTCCAAGTTGTCTGAAGTTGTAACTGGTTCTCCTCTCGTTGTTGAACCACTGTCTCGACAGTTGCAAACTTTTGCAGCTGAAATTCAATTTTTAATACTTCTTAGGAACTTTCATCTTTATTTCTTTGTTTACACGAAAAGCATTCGTACGAGCATACACCTTATACCTTCGTTAATTAATCATATCACGTTGAACAGCTTGATATAATTGTTGATATAATTGTTGATAAAATTTCAGCGTAGTCAACATAATACATGTCTTATAGCAAAGCCGACAATGAATTAGTGAGAACAGCTTGCAAGTGACATTTAATTTAAAATTTGTTACTTATGCCAAAGTTACTCAACAAGTACATTCAATATTTCTCTTGCAAGTTATTCAAAGTCGCCAGTTTCACGCTACTTAAACTCTATACCATTACACCATACAATATTACAATGTGTATTATAATAAGACTAGTAGAGTGATTGCATGTGAGTTTGGAAGAACTAAGCATAAATTGATGTTTTTTTGAGTAACTTTATTTTAAATATTTGTAGGTTAACCATTAACAATGAATTTACGAGCAATAAATAGGTAAAGCAAAGTCGAGCTTTATAATTGTATTCAACTTTACTTTTGTAATCCTCCACCAGAAAATAAATAAAGCTATTAAGATAATAATTATAGTGATGATAGGCGCGTTCGAAATACCAACACCTTACTCAAAGTATGACTTATGTAATTAGTTGTCAATGATGACTGACCATCTGCGAATGCAGAAAGTACTGGAAGTAGCGTTACAAAATCAGATCATTCTGTTTCGTCACAATGAGTCACTGACGTATCGAATTGAAGCTGAGTGCAAATAAGTATATAAAAATGATATCGATATTGCGGACAGAGTGCGATGTGCATTAGCAAAAACAACATTTCATACGCATAATTTTCATCCACACCTGCATGAGTTTGGATCGAAGTAAGCATTCGTGAAGCACTCTTCGACCTTGCGGCAATGGCAAGAGCAACTGTTCGGGTCCCAGTACTTTTTCTCGTTTTGCTGTTGACACTTGTATTCCTCGTCGGAATTCTTGCAACTGCATCTACATTCTTCTTTCAGGTAAAACTGCTTATCAGTGCAATCCTATTCAGAAGCAGGTTTTCTTTAGTTCGGCGAAATGTCTATGTCAAATACATTTTCAATTTACATATAAACAGAGATCCGCTAAGAAAAGAACGAACAAGTCGAAAACCGACCATTTCGCAGAAAATACAAGGCTCAACTTGATTCATCTGACAGAACTGTTGGCTCGTCGATCGAATTGCCAATTTTATATTGAAACAATGGTCTATAGCGATATCACGCTAAGTTCATACAATTTTCGTTACAAATAGTCGATCGATAAGAAACGCGCGAAGGCATTTGCGTCGAAAACAAATCTTCATTGAAATAGCAACTACGGTAAGCAACTTGTAATTGCGAAAATGTGACACCGTTTTGAAAGCGTTATTCAATGCTAATTGTAAGAAGAGTCTTTCTCGCCGACTTTGTGTGTCAGCCAGATTTATCATGCCTATCGGAATAATAAATTGCGTTTGGCAAAATATCAAGATACTACTGTCCCAGTCAAGTTTAGAGCGAGACTCTAAGTATCACAGTACTAATATCACAGTGACGGCAAATTTACAACAGTTTTTGGATTTATCGTTGAAGCATTTGCGTGATGGGTCTTGGTATCCGTGACTTTTCAATGATTTTTACAACGAAAATAAACGAGGAAACGTAAATTTGCCAATGACGAGCAAACGAGGAGCTGGTTTGACGAAAGAATGTAATGTTTAATCGTTATCATCAGGTATCCCGTACCTTCTCTTTCTTTGTACAATCGCATAGGCACGCCGTGTGTTCGTCGAGCGGGACAATTTTTTTGAAAACAATATTTTCTCCCGAGTACTTGTCCACCTTCGTGACGAGGATCTGGAAGAACGATCGATGGTTAGAAGGGAGCAGGCCGGCCACTCGAGCCGACGCCAGTGAGAATTCCACGGTTTACCTCGTAATTGCGCGTTTCCAGAGCCGTCACTTGGCAAGATAGAAGCTCGTGGTTGCAGCACCCTCCGCAGCGCTTCATGCGCACGCAGCTTGGAAAGTAGAACTCGGAAGGGTCGGCATTCTCGACGACCGGCACTACCTGCACCTCTGGCATACATATCGCCGGCTTGGCCTTGATCACTTTGGAGGAGCGCTCGTCCCCGGCGATCCGCTCGACTGAAAGGTGTGTGTGTGTGTGTGTGTGTCTGTGTGTTGCCCACGGTCACGCATTTTGCTCTCGACCGAAACGAAGATGCGCGTACTCACGTAAGACTGGAGAGTAGGACTGCGGAGTCGGGTAGACCTGGAAGAGCTCGTAAAAGTCTTGGTCGCTCTCTATCGAGTTGATCCGTTTTGCCAGATCTAGGGAGCTCTGGGGACCAAACGAAATAGAGCAACGTTATTTGTTATAGCGTACGTGGCGTAGGCTCGGACTGGGACTGTGCTCGCGCCAACGAATCTCGATTCTTATAGGGAAAAGAGGAAGAAGCTTTGGAACGACTCGGACTTTGCGCGTCAATGTCAATGTCTCGATGTCTGCTCGCAAAGACAATAGCAATTTGTGCAGCAGCCGTTCGTTGTTGCAACGCGCGCGAAAGCCTTGGTAGCTGCTCGCCAGGCCGCCGACAAAGACGTTCAACGTTGCGATTTCGCGCTGGTTTTCCATATCCGGCTTCGGTGGGCAACAGCGCGAGCCAAGCAAGCGCGACAGAGGCACCGAGGCTGTCGAAAAACAACGTTTACGTAATGCAATTGCCAGATCCGACGGGAACGCGGTTCCCCTTTCGGACGCCGTCGCTGATCAAGGATCAATTTAGCCGGATGCCGGGCGAATGAGTTGGAAAGTTTTTCGAGGAGAAGAGCGCGACGTTGATCGCCGCTGACATTCCTCGACAAAACGACGTCCGGTGAGTAGCACTTCCATACAGAGATTTACGCGTCGACCAAGGTCGTCGCAGCCAGCGAACGCATATCGCGTATGTAAGACAATCGTGTCGAGGATAATGCGGACAATGCGACTTACTTAGGCAGCATACTTTCCGCCGATCGAGACGAGAATAACAATTATCCACCGCGATTAATCTCGTCTTTTTCGAGCCACTCCAATAAGAAGCTTCTCTCCTGATCCGATTGCCATCAACTTCGCGGACAGCTTGCCGGTCGACGGCATTGGGCAAGCAGCTTCAATTTTTCTATCGGGAAAACACCTCGCGAAGCCGCTGACACTCGTCTCCGTCACGATCGTTTCGCAACAGCCGCTCGCAGCAGTGTTCTCGAGTCGATGCATCATTTGTTACGCGAGCGGCGTCATTTCCGCTTGACGTACAGCCAATCACGCGAAATTACGCCAAACGAATTACGTTTTCCTGTCGCCCTGCCGCATTCGCCACATCTCGAACCACACCAGCTCGAACCCACGTGAAACCATTCGTTGTTTCCCTTCCACGCCGTTTTCGACATTTCGAAATGCAGACGCAGCCACTCGAACAAAATAATCTCGCGCGCACTCGCCGCTTATCAAATTTTTATCACACTGAAACTTAGGTGAAACGAAGTTTGCAGCCTCGTGACTCACAAGTCAAATGAATAGATATCTACGATCAAGATTGTCAATCAATAGCTTCTTTTATATTATATCTTATCAATTATGAATCACAATTTGCTTAACATTCTCGAGGAGCCCCACGTACTCTAAATTCCAAACGATTCATCATCTATATATATATATATATATATATATATCGCAATTGGAAATAACAGGTCATCGACTGATATTTAGATGTTTATCCAGAAATTTACCACTTGAAGGATACACTTGTTTGTTATCAGGTCAAAGATTTATGCAATGTGAAATCTAACTTTTGCTCGGAAAATTCATTTTATGAAACTTTCACGTTTCTGTTAATCCCAAGCCTTGAAGCAAAATCTTGAAGGCCGGTCAACGTATTAAAAGTCGAGTCAAGTTTTGAAACCAGCATGTCTCACTCGCCAACTCTTCAATGCTTCCGAACATTACAAAAGTAAAATACATTTAAATAAATTTATTCCGTTTTAGATATCAGGCCATTTCTCTCCAGTAATTTTAATTTTAAATAATCTGCAAACAGTTCACTATTTTGATGAGCAAACATTCAAACGGGACAAGGGTTTGTAAGAAGTTGATTGCTTATCTATGAAAAATAACCATGTGCAAATAAAACCTGCGTAAATGAGAAATATTCTTGGAAATATTGGGTTTTGCCAGCAGAATTAATGGGAGAGATAGTTTAAGTTGTTTCGAGTGAAAAAACAAAGAGTAACTCGACGCTACGTTATTATTAGTGTCAAGCGAATGGACATAAGTGTCCTTAAAGAGCAAGAGACACATTGGACGGCGGTTTAATTATTAGATTCACTAAGCGATAGAATTCCAATAAAGTTTACTGCCTGAGAGTAGCCTGGCTAATAAAAATATATATCGTATTTTTTGTTTTATACTTCGATCATCATGACAAATACCTCAGTGCTACGAACATAATGCTATTGTTAATTTTTCAACGTGTCACATTTGCAATGTCATATTTTTAATGAAATAAAATACTGAACGAGGTCAACGAAATAGTTAGCCAAAAGAATGTCATATAGGTAAACACGCATCAAAGTTTTTATCACTTCAGATTGCTTCAAATGATAAATTGCACAATTATTCATGCTTCCAATTATATGATTTCCAATTCAGGACATTAGACGACTATACAACGGTCGTACCGCTTCGCTCGCTAGATCTGCGCATGATCCAATAAAAACTCTTGTATATAAATTTGCATATAGGTATAGTGATGACGGATAACCGCAATAAAAAATACCTAGCCAAAATATCGAGGTAATCGCCCTCTTTCCCATTTCTGTCCTACTTCTGCTTGAATGCAAATTACACTGTTTTTCTCGGGAACTCCAAGATAATAAACTAGGCTAATAATATTTGCGCAGGTTATAACTACATTGTTAAAGTTACATTGAGCAAAATTATGGACGACGATTTTTCGATACATTCATTCGGTAGTCTGAAAAGATAAGAAATTTCTTTTTGAAAACAACTATATCTTCAGTGTACATCGATGCAAAATCAAATCGAATCAATTTCAAAAACAAAAATGAAATACTTTGAAGCCACCATGCTTTTCACTCTATCAAGCAGGTAATTGATGTGATTTCTTTACAGAAATAGGAATTCGATTTTGAATGTTACTTAGAAGATAAAATAGTTTGTGTTGATCAGTGGCTGTGACGGATCGTAATGGTCGTCAGATTTCAAATATATATACACCGAATTCCAAATCGTTTTTCGTAGATAGATAAGTCGTTGAAATAGGTAGCTTGTTAACTTATAGTTAAAAAATAGTCGGAATAAGTTGGTTGAATATGCGCCTAGAGTTTGGTAAGCCATACAATAAACGAGCTAGTTTAAAAGTGAAAATCAACTATTATCAGTTTTCAAAGTGAAATCAAGCTATTATCAACACTAACTAACATCGCTCGACGTATTTTCCGAGTATGCAATTAAACATAAGAACTTTGTGATTTTATTTACAATAATTTACTAACGAAAAATGATGACTAAAAGTAGTGGCATTTCCAACAAACGTATGACTCATCAGCGAAGCCTGAGTGTTTTTGGATGAAATAAAAGACAACTAATTGAAAACGCTGAAAGTATTCGATAAGTCGAAGCGTGAAACGACGAGCAGAGTTCGAGGAAAAGCCGCAGGGAAACGATAATGGCGACGATATCGGTGCGTGCGCGCGCGTGCGAGAGAAACGTGTATGCTGTTCTTGATGTTTCTTTAAACGTGAAATAAACGAACGACGAGTCTGTCGAAACGACAACCTGTCAGCGGTAGATTTCCAATTAGCCGCTAATACAACTACCACAGCTTTACCATTGATTACGCCCTAAAAAGGCAGTATCGGCGTACGCGCGCGCGCGCGCCTGCATTCCTGTACGTAGCCCGATAAGCTTCATTTGCGCGTGTTTTTCGTTTCGTTTCGCGAAAAATCCGGGCGTCCGCGCGTCACTTTCGTCGCCACAACGCTTGTGCGCGAGATAATCAAAGGAGACACATGCGCTGCAATGACTATGTGAATTCCTATGGAATACGTGCGTTGCGTAAGGTGAGCTGGGCAGCGCAACGCATAAATATTAATGGTACGGCTCGAGAAAGGCAGGCGTTCCATAATCATCTGCGCTGCTGTATGCAGCGGCAGGTTTTTATCGCGAAATCGTATCGAGTAGGCGGCGACTACTCGTCGCCAGATAAGAAAAGAACGGAGCGCGAAGGCAGTGATTTGCAGCTGGAAGCTGTGACGCCGACGCGAGTGCGTGCACGTACCAGAAGCCGCTGGTCCGGGCTCGGCAGCCGACGCGGCTGATCGGGGAAGAAGATGCGATCGGAAGTGGCGTGGACGGACAAGTTGGCAGGTCTGTCGTAGGCGTGCAGCGAGGCGGCGAAGGCAAGCACGAGCAGCAGCAGCAGCAACATGGCGCGCCGCTGCAGCGGCAGCTCGCGGGCGCGGCTCGGCCACTGCACTGGGAAAGCAAGCCGCGATCCGGCGCGCTCGGGCGGCTTGCGAAATCGGCGCGCGCTCGGCAGGTCCGTGCGAGTCCGCGGCGGGACCGATACCACACTGCCGGCGCAGGAGCGAGCGGCTGCCGCGGTAGCGCGAAAGCGCGCGCCGAGCCGCCGCGGCCTTCGCGCGCTCGCTCGCTCGCTCGTTCACTGCCCGCCCGCGCACACCTGTGCGCGCGGCCACGCGTAGCTGATAAGCGAGCCCGCCTGCATCCGCCGAGACGACTGTTTTCTTCTCGATTCGCACCCTGTTCCTGCAGTATTTCTGGAAACTGATATTTGTCTACCGAGTCCTGGACTCACCTGAAGTTGGCATTCCTTTTTGACAAGTTGCGTCCATTCGTCCTCGTGCTCGATATTTTCGCATGGATCGCTATGAACTTTGCAAGTGCGTGTGGTTCTCCTGTCATCAAAACTAGATCACTTATGTCATATGCTCTTTTTTCAAATTTACCTGTGTGATTTTCAACGATTGTACACTCCCAACCAGTGCGGCAAAGTAGATACTTCTCTCGCATGAGCTTTTACACGAGCAAAAAGCTCAAAAAACACGAGAGGAGAATCTACATACTTCCAAGCGTCACACATTAACTAATACACTATTTCCGAAAATGTCTATATCAAATTTTATGAACAAGTATAATTTTTCAACGGCTCTACTTTTTATTTACTGATATTGTTTTTAAAACTCGACATTGCTTGTTTTACAAGATTTTCCATTACAAATGATTTATATCAAATTCAATGAAAATATTCAATCACAATTATGGAAATAGAATTAAGCTGAAATGGATGTTTCAAAATTACACACAAATCAGCAACCTAATGTCGAAATGCTTACTTTGTATAATAAAGATACAATATTTAGATAAACCTTACAACTGATTTGTTAAATTAACTACCTGTCAAATAATTCGTTTTAATTAATATCAAATGATTTTTTTAATAATTTTCCATTTACTTTATTTGTCGTATACGTGATCATTGTCAACAACACGGTATTTCATCGTGAGTAATTTTATTACACGATTTTTATTGTCTCCGCGTGACCTTCTTTTATTTGTATTATGTTAATGATGTTATGTTATTTTTGTAATGAGTAATTGAAAGTAAACGTCGTTGCAATAACAATTCAAATAGTTGATCACTTCTGATCTATCGTTGATTGATCTGCCCCGTGGGCTGTTCAAATATTATACCAATTACTTTCTCTGGATGTTTTAAGAATATACTTGCAAAAATTATAAAGCAAATGTTTGTATATAAGCAAGAAATTAAATATGTACGTCGTATTTTATATCGCCAACAATGTAGCAGACACTCGAAATGTTAGCCTTCACATTTTTTGGATCTCTGCATAAACATAAATCTGCTATTGGATTGTCTCTTTAAGAATAACTTCGACTGTTAAAAATGATGAAAATCGACTTTTTGACAGTTTAAAACTAAAAAAAATGCTAATAGTGGACTTGTTTCAAGGAAAAATCCGTATCCTATTCAATTGTAGGTCATTAACAATTTTTACCTGTGAAATAAAATTTCTGTTTAAAAAATCCACTGCACCGTTCTTTTTTTTCACTTTGGAATATTTATCATGACATTATATCAAAGAGATGTAATTTTTTTATGACAATTTGTGACTTTGTCCTTCAATTATCGAATCAAATGTCTAACTACCCAATCACATCCATCCGACGCGTGTAAAAGCAATCTTTCCATCGTCGACCATTACGGTACTTTTTCAACACTCCGCAAAGTGCACCTTTCCCGTATGCTCGGCAGAAAACGTGTGTCAAGATGTGTTATGCACATGTTCGAGAAAGTTTCTCGTCTCGCTTCGCTCGAGCGTAAACGCCATGCGAGATAAGAATCTACTTCCCCGTACTTGTCTCGTGCTACTACGACAATGGATAGTTCGATAGTTGCAATATCTAAAACTTTCCTCTAAAGACAGTGTCCAATTTATTTGTAAAAATGCTGGAATTATGATTTCAGAACCTTCATGGAAAGATCGGTACTTTGAAATGGCTTGCAGACAATTGTACACGGTTTTGTTATACACACAAATTTTTGCGCACAGTAACATAAGCGTAAGAATTGATTCACGCCATATTACGATACGTAATAGTTTATGTGTATAATAAGACTGTACAAAATTGTCCACGTGCCTTTGAAATTATCTGTTTCTTATGTAAGATCACGCATTGGACTGTTATAATAATTCAACGGTGTTTTTTGAAAAATTGTATTAGTCACCAGAAAATGTTTTTCAGATATCACTGAATCTGCAGTATCCACATTTTTATTCATATCATTTGAGAATTTGACACAACTTTAATCAAAGTAGTAAGAATTGCTATGGCCTGTCAAGTAGAAGCCAATACAAAGTGAAAAGCTACTTAATCAATTACCAACTTTATTTCATATGTTTATATCTAATCGAAAGACATACGAACTAAAAATTAGATTTCCTTATTTTATTATTGTGAAAATTGAATTTCGACAAATATTTCAAAAATCGGTCGTTTTCTTAAACACCATAGAATTATTAGAAACGAATAAAACTACTAAGTTATTGTTTATGCGTCTAACTTTAATATTTTTCGTAACTACTTGATGCTAAGTTGAAACTGAATTTATACCTTAATAATGATAATATTGTTATTTTACTTTAAAAAAGTAACTTTTACGTGTTCAACGATAATTTATTCTTTGCTGACAAATATAGCGTGCTAAATTTTTAAGCATTACACATTAGTTTAGACTATCTTAAAATAAATAATTACATTCATGATTTCAAATAAATTTTTATCAAGGCAAATACATAAAATATCATACACTTTTTAAATACAAATACACTACTATGGCTTCGCCTAATAATTAGTAACAAAAACAACAAAAATATTCAATCCACTGTAAAGAACATAAATGGCACGTTTATCTTTGGTTAAGGACTAAGTAAGTTACCGCTAGATGTATATTGTAACGGAAATTCCAATGATATTTTTTATAATTAATCATTTTAAAAATGGAATTATTATCTAATAAATTTATTTATCACATCAGATTTGAAGCTTTTTTTTTCAATCACTAATCAGTCAAAAGACTTATTTTCGTCTAATATTAAGAAATTTAACTTCATTTTTACTTTAATTATTATCGAGAATTTACTTAACTTAATATTGTGCATTTGATATGTTGTAACTATTTTCAAGGATATTAATGAAATATTTCAAATATCCTTTAAAGCTACCTGAATTTAAAAGTAATTTGTATAAAATGCCACTAGAAAAAAGGTAAAATTTAAAGCTTAGTATGTCTGAATACTACAACGCTTATATTGAAAGCTAATCATTTTCAGTCTCCTCGGTATAGATGTAGTCTTTGAGTACGTCCCGTTGTCGAAGTGTATCCTCGCTTGCTTGCTCCCAATTTGCTTTCATTTCAGGTTGAGGATACTTTTTTAAAAATTCAGCAGATTGTTTTGACCATTCCTCAAGAAAAGCATCGTCTTCTGTTTCACAAATATTGTTAAGAATACAACAAGCCGCAATCAGTTGAGGTGCTACTTTATAGCTAAGATCCATCATACGACTCAAGATTAAAAATCGCGATCGCAATCTTGTTATCACAGTTTCAACATAATTTCTTATTTCATCTAAACGTTTATTAAACAAAGCTTCTTTGGGAGATGATATTATAGTATAGTTATTTAATAACCAAGAATATAAAGGTCCCTCTGTAGGACCAATAATTTTATAAGACACGTTAATGCCATCAATATATTTTTCTTCCTGGAAGAAAATAAATACTGTTGAAATATTTTATATTGAAACAATGGACAGCTTTGTACTTATAATTTAACTTACTGTCGGCATCACTTTTTGTGAATATTTGTATAAATTTGATTCAGCTAAAATTAAACGAAGCTCGGCAGCTCCGGCATGGCGAACGCTCACATCTCTGAAACTGAAAGGCAGTGTTTGTTAACGTATTTGCAAAATTTAATAAAATAACATTTTAAATAATGCATTAATTATTGAACTGTAAGATCGAATGACGCGTTATCTCTCTATGTTGTAATATAAAAAAGAGAAACTGATATTGTACTTGAATTTCAACAATAAATTACGTACCTAGGCCGGGATAGTATTGACGAGTCTATAGCACGTGAGAAGTTACAACCGAGGCGAAACTAAGGTTGTCAAACGCGTGCTATGGGCTTGCCAATTTCCCGGCCGCGGTGCGTATACTATTTTTTTGCCCAGCGAGGCTGAAATTAGCATGCTACCGATTGAGCTACGGTCGGGAAATGCTGTCTTCAGGCTATTGGGCAGAAAAGGTAATTTATGTAGATATTTTACATAAACTCACCGAAAATTGGAATCTACCACAACTTGCATGACAAAAGATGGGTACAATTTAGAGTTTAAAAATTGATAATTTAAATTGATTGGTGAAGATATAGGAACATGTACTATCGCCATTGCTCCAATAATTTGAGGAATTTTATACACCTGTTCAAAATCACTGGCGATAATTTGAGCTTCTGCATCTTTTGGCATATTTATGATTTTGTGCAGGAGATATCTGTTTACTGCAACAATGCATTTATATACAATTTTATGTATTGTTGTTTTATGAATTTTGAATTTCTTAGAAATTGTAGTATAATCGGATGATGTTGTAAGCTTGAACAAAAAAATAGCTACTTGTTTTTCAACAGTGATACCTGAAATCAATATGTATATAGTTAATGAAAATTGTATTAATTAAAGCAGTATATGTTGTTAATTATATGACAAAGTACCTTTGCGTAACTGTATCAAAGAATCTTGCTCTGGTAAAGCACCAAATTTTGGTGATATATGAGGTTTCAAGGTTTTTACAAGAAACATATATGTTCTTCGAGAACACTTAAATAATTGTAAACATTTTTCAGTTGAGTAATCTTCGTTTACAAACTCAAACCACCAATTAGAATCATTGTCAGATGCTACATTAGACTGTTTGCTAAGGGTTTTGTCGGATGACATCTTAATGAATAATCTTGACTAAAATATCTAAATAATTGTAACGGATCTAATATATTTACACAATTTCCATATCTATATGAGTATCTCTGTTATTGACTAGTTTCTTTCACAAAATATGAAAACATATTGGCAATTCAATAAGTATATTCAATGATATGCTAATTGGGCAATAAATAAAAAGATAACATGTTGTGTCCATGTAATATATAATCTATTCTTGAAAATGATTATTTTACAGTACAGCTGAAAATCATCAACCTTTATATACTATGATTTATTGCATCAACTTCAGTGTAAAAATTAAAAAATCTCATATTTTTAAGTAACAAGATGTTATATTAATACTCACATTGTATAAGTTAGCCATTTAAAAAAAGAGGAAGTATATATGTTCAGTCATCTATAAATTAAAAGTTACAGTTGTGTTGATTTTTATAAATCTATTTATCTCGTGTAAACAATGAAAATACCTCAGTCTATTGTTGCCACTTGCACGGTTGTGGTGGTGGTACTCCTCCACTGGCAGTGGAGAGCGAATATATATATAGACTATAGGCGTATGAGTGCGTATAGATAAAATTGCAGTGGACAAGACCAGTCGATAAAAGTGAACTGCACAGGCACAAATACATAGTCATATATTCATATGTACACTGATTTGTATTGTACCGTTGCGATTGTTCGTAATTATTTTAAAACTTTACTAAATTCCACTGATAAGAAAATCAAATAAAAATAAGAGCATGCATTTATTGATTATAAATTTGAATCTGAAATTCTTTTATTTTGGCAATTTTATCGTACTGTACCTTACAAGTTACAGTTAAAAAAAAATGTTTCTTCAAAAGTATATCTTGCAAATTGATTTTGAATTCTTCGCTAAATAAAATAATGAAACATCTCCAGTAAAGTTAAAATAATATTGTTCAAATCGAGACAAGTTTAGTGTTCAACTTATTTTTTTCTTATGCATAAAATTGGAAAAATGATGAAATTAAGTCTGAATTCTCTATAAAAAATCGCTCTATGTAGATTGTATAAACAAAATTTTGGCCCTCAACATCTAGACAATCCTGAAAGGTGAATAATAAATTGTTTAAGAAAAAAAGTAATATTTATTATTAGCATTTGAATATTTGTTAGACGCATCTTTTAATACATACTATATCACTATGTATACAATAACAACCATAAATTAAAAGTAACAATTTACAATAAAATGTACAAATTCCCAAAATAATTTATACAACTTTCAACTATACATGCCACCTCCTGTGACTATTTATGCCTTACATTTGCAATTCGTCTCTAGCACACATACCAATTTAATTTTACATTTACATATATATTGCACCAAATATCGTTGTTACTTTTTGAACTCTTTTATAAATATATTAATTTACACTTTTGATAGGAATAGACGAGCAACAAAAAAATTTTTTTTACATTTCTTTTTACAGACACTTTCCAATAAGCAAAGGCAATTGACAGAGACGATCGCTCTTAAGACTCAATCTTCAAGAAACATTTCGTGAAGATTCGTCAAGTTAAACACATTTTCAAGACATTCTGTAGAACCTGAATTGAAAAATGTATAATTACTGTACGGTAACCATTGTCAATAATTAACTTTGGTACACAACAGCAATTGACGTGATTACAATATATTGCAATTTCAATTCAATGATTTTACATTTTTTGAGATCAAACATATAACGCATTGTTATAGTCAGCAATTTTTACCAGTATTGGAAATAATATTGAAAATGATAAACTACATTTTTCAAAATAAACCACATAAACAAGCATATAAACCAGTTATCATACTACTTTTTTAAATTGTGCTATTTCATTATATTGACTACAATGATTTCAACTGGTATGTTTCTAGTTTCTGTAACAAACTTTTTTCGCGTTGCACACGCATACAAAAATAAAAATATTCAAGTGCTTTTGTGTTATTCGATCGTGAGATTTAGTAAATCACTATTTTTTTATAAACAATTTTATTAATAAGATTCAGTCGAAAATCAAGTTCTAACAACTTCAAATTTGTTCATCCAAATTTTTTTCATTTTTTTTTTTCAGATTTCATTTTTTATTTACTTTTGAAGAAACTAAGTTTTGATGATACAAATCCTTTTTCGGATGGATTTGTATGTAGACGTAATGACTTTCTTATTTTTTTACTTCAGTCCGTAGTATGCACATCAGTCGCATAAAAAAATAACGCATATGACAATTTCGATCTCGACTTGGCTGTAATTAATATTGAAATTCAAAGATGTCTATATCAACGGTTGTCTTATTAGAATTACAAAACTCGTACGAGAAAGAATCCCGATCTACTTTACCGATACTGTCATTGCATAGTATTTCCGTGCCACTTAATTTCACCAGAGAATTAATACGACCATTTTTGAACATTCTAATAAGTATTTATAACTTCCAAGGATAATAAACAATATTTACTCTGAACAATCAAAGTTATGCATTACGGCATTCTAAATTTTTAAATAATTACAATTTGAACAATTATAAAGACATGAAGCACGCTTGAATCATTTCTAAATTTGCCAGGTTAATGAATAATCGAAGAGATTGACAAGAATAGCGCAACAAATGTAGTTACAATCAAGTGAACGCAATATTAACATTTTAATCTGTAAGACTTGAAACAAAATTTTCCTGAATTCCATACATCTAATATGTATGAAATCAACGTAATAATTATTTAATTTTGAAAATATCACCTTTCAATGCGCAAAACGACACAATCTCCTCGACAACAGTATCTACATATGAATTTACAAGATTCTTTTAAATGTTTATACAAATTCCAAGTGAAATATACATTAATATATAAAATATCATACAAATGTTATTAGCCATGTCGGAGTTGGACATAATTTTCGAATGTCATGGATTTAACAAAGAGCACGTATAAATATATATTAACATGTATATTTTACAATGAAAGATACACTTTTTGTCATGTGGTGCCAATAAGGCTTACTCAATGAACTGTATCACACTGTACAGTTGTTCAACAAAGCTCGCAGACGATTTCGACACATTTGCTTACAAAATGGAAAATTAACGATCATTAATTTACTATACAATTGCTTAAATAAATAGAAGCCTATTACACCTATATACAATTTGCTTGTTGTACCATTTGATTTTAGCTGGCAATAACAATATTTACGGGCCATTCACACGTTTGTCAAAGCAGCTCTCGGGTCATATCGTTTGATTATCAACAATAGAAAAATGAGATTTTGATTGTTGTACCCGCAGCTATGTTTATAGATAAATAAGGCAAGCATTCAGATTATAATTGTAAACTCGTTGACGAACATTACAGCCGAATGCTATGGTTTCTCAATAGATCTACAGGCGGGGCGCGCGCGCCACTCGTGAAATTTGCGATGAAAGTCTGCATGAACGCGCGACCGCTTGCTCACGTTGGTCGAAAGTAGCACAGAGACTCGTCGTAGCAGGAAATTTGATCGAACGTAGATCGCAGAGGGGGGTCGAGCGTCAGAGGAGTTGGACGCGATGAAAAAATGTGTGCTTTGGCTGCCGGTTTTCCAGTTTTCTTACAAAACGTCGAAATTTGTAAAGAGATTGGCACAATAGAGGGAATAAAGGCGGCAACGGAGCGAACGCCGAGTGCGAGAGGAGCGCGACGGGACTCTGGTCCGTGGAAGAGGAGGACGCGGAACGGAGCGACGGAAGAAAGGCCGTCGCGGGCTGTCGAGGGCGGCACCCGGACCGCGAGCGCCTGGACGAGTCGACAGCCGAGCCGGAGCAATCCCGCGCGGCTCAGCCCTTGGAGTGGACGTTGGTCTTCTGGGCCTTCTTCTTGCGCGCCGCCAGCATGTCGTAGAACGGATTGTGAGAGATGCTCTGCCTGCGAGAAAAAGAGGGATGAGCGCGCTTGCTGGGACGTCTGCCCGAGACGGGCGGCAGGGCCGTCGGCACTTACCGCACGCACTTGATCCACTCGTCCTTCTCCTCGTTGGTCGCCGCGGACATCCGGTAGACCGTGTGTTTGCCTGTGAACAGGGGGCGGAAGCATTAGCGACCATCGGGCCGAGGCGGGGCGACGAACCGCGGCCTACCTTCGACCACTTTGCCCTCGCTATCGGTCTTGCAGGCCTTGATGAACTCGGTGCCAGCGGCGTACAGCTCGAAGCAGTGCGGCTTGTTTCTGTCCTGGACCTCCCTCACCTGAATGTTCTCCAGCGGGATGATGCCACGGGGCTCCTTGTCCGTCGTGTACTCGAAGTAGTAGAGGCAGTTGTCGTTGAGGATGAACCAGCGTCGCTTCCAGCTCTTGTAGCGTCCACCTAGAATCGGCAGCGACCGAGCGGCCAAATGAGATCGAGGTGGCCAGCGCGCTAACAAGCCAGTCAGCGCCTCGCTAGTCGAGTCGCGGCTACTACGTCTCTACACACTTATCGTCAATTTACCTGCTGTCTCCGTCAGATCAGCAGTTGGTACGAAGCGGCATAGAATAAGAATAGAAACATGGTTTTAGAACTGATTGCCAGTAGCAGTGGCAGGCGCTCCGGTCTCGCGCGAGCACGGGCGTGAGAAGCTCGGCAGGACAGAGGCAGAGAGGCGGAGACTACTTTTGGACTGGCGCGCGCGCGCTTTTATTCGGACGGGTGCCGCCGCCGCCGCCGAGCAAATAATTAACTCGTCGCGACCTCGATCCGCTCTAGCGTCCGCGAACATTGCCGGACTATTTATTCCGACTTGCGCGCGGCTACTTGCACCGGCGTTTCCTTGGCAGTCGCGCGTCGTGGTGGCTCGGTCGAGGAGCTGCGGATCAAACGAGCCACGCGCGTCGCTCTGAAACCGGATCGCGCAACGAATCGAGGGCGGCGGACGGCGGGCGACGGGCGGCGGGCGGCGGAGTCGGAGGGAAGAATCGCGAGAAAAAGCGAAGGCCAAGGAGGTCGCGGAGCGGGTTACCTTGCTTCCAGAGCCAGCCCTCCTTGTCAGGATTGAAGAAAGTGTGCATGAGGTCGTTGCCGTCGTCCTCGGGAATCTTGAAGGGCTCCGTCTTGATGCTCTCGTAGAGACTCTGCAAGGGCAAGAAGGGTCAGCAGAGGGGGGGGGGGCGGCTGCGAGCGGCAGTCGGGCGCGAATACTGACCACGAGCAGCTCCCGGGGCAGGTCGCCGCCGTTGTTGATGCCGCGGTTCATGTTGATGAACTGCTCGACGCTGGGCTTGTCTTTGACGCTGGGATTGTGCAGGCTGGTGTTGAGCATGATGATGGCGAAGCTGAGCACGTAGCAGGTGTCGGTGTTGGTGAAGATGTTGGTGTTGAGCTGGCAGTAGCGCTGGGCGAAGCACTCCATCATGCGGTCGATCTTCTGCGCCTCGCCGGGCAGCCGGAACGACCAGAGGAACTGGCGCAGCGCCTGCACGAGGATCAGGTCGGTGAAGTCGTGCAGCTCGACGAAGGCGCGCAGCACGCGCTCGTTGAAGTCGTTGCGCTCGCCCAGGTAGTCGCCGATGGCCGTCTTGTTGAGGCCCTCGCCCTTGTACAGGAACTGGGCGACGTCCTCGGCGCTGGCCGCCAGCAGGCCGTGCTCGATCAGGTACTCGATGCCCTTCTTCGGGTCCATGTTGAACTTCTTGCGGCCGATCGACGTCTGCTTGGCCCTGTTGGAGCCCTTGCACTCGGCCTCCGAGCCGGCCTGGCCGCCCGGCTGCTGCTGCTGCTGCTGCTGCGGCCCGCCCTGCTGCTGGCCGCTCTCCATCGCCTCCATCTCCGCCACCACCTCGCCCAGCTCATCCTTCAGTTGCTGCAAAAGCACGCACAGCAGCGCTGTCTCAGAGACTCGTCGTCGGGTAGCCGCTGCCCACGAGCGGGGCCCGCTCTCCGCCCCCCTCGTCGCGCGCGGCGGCCCGTCGGCTCTCGGCCGGCGACTCGCGTCAACTTCGACAGCGCCGCGGCTCGGGCAGGCGTTCCGCGTTGTCCTCGAGGCGGGCACGTCGACGCGCACCTCATTGATTCATCGACGCGCCAATTGCGACTGCGCCGAACGGATCTTTCGCTTCCCTCCTCGTCGGTTTGCCAAGACGCCCGAAGAACAAAGAAGCGGCGGGCTGCGAGCTTCCGGGGCTTTTATCAGCGAGCGGCAGCGCTGGAGGTCGCAGACAGTCCCGAGAGAGTGCGGCGCAGCGAGCGATATACCAAGGGAGGGAGAGAGAGAGACTAATCAGCCGCGAGCCGAAGCTTTCGGATAATTATTCCGGCGAGCGTCGACGAGAGCAGCTACCACCAGTTTTTGCTCCTGCTTTTGTTCGTCTCCTTATTTCGCCTCGTGGCACAGCTTTGTTTGCGCGCCGCTCTTTCCCTAATTGCTTTCGAATTCATTTGGTGCTTGTCTCGCGCTTCTTTCTCGCTGCTGCTGCTGCTGCTGCTGCTGCCTTGCAGGCGATATGGTAATCGTGCTCGACCGAAATAGCCAGTCAATTGGGATTCATCGAGCGTGTTCGGGCGACGGACGAATACGGGAAGGAACGGGGCGCCGCGGGTTGGCGAATTTGGCGCTACGACAGCCGCGAGTCGATCACTGCCAATTACGCCAGTTACGCGCTCCGGAAACGCTCTGCCTCTTTCTTGTCCGTTAGCCGGCGGCCGCTTCTTCTGCTTCTTTGGCTCCTTACGCTGCTCTCGTCAAACTGGCAGTGCCAGTCGCGTACTCGCTCGACGAGGAACGCTCGGGCGCAGACTCGTCGACCGGCTGAAGCCGAGCGATCCTCGCGACGGCGGCGGCGGACAGTGCAGCCTGACAAAGGCGCATCTCCATCGGAATTTCCGCGCAAAACAGCTCGGACTCGTGAGAATGGACGGCAAAGCGGACGAGAGAGGCGACGCGCAAGGCGAGTGCAGCTGTGCGCTCCATTTCACGGCAGCGCCGGCGAGCCAAGAATAAAGGGGGAAAAAAGCTTGCGCTTCGCTCCACGGACGGCGAGAAAGAGCGAGAGAGCGAGAGTGCATGGACTCAATTTGCTCGCGGCGACGGCGGCTCCGTTTCCTCGATCGAGCGACACACAGCGGCAGCGACGCGACGACCCGCCGCTGCAGATTATACCCGCGCCTAATGGGATCAAAGTTATAACGAGCGAGCAGATACGGCCAAGTGCGTTCTTCGTGCTCGCGAACGCGCAGGCCGTTCCGTTGCGCCAGGAGCAGTGCGCGCAAAAGCACAGCGGAGGCATAGGCGTGCCAATCGCGCGACGCGCGAGAGCGAACCGAAATAGCCGAAACGGGCGCTACTCCACGCGTTCGTCCGCGCCGCTGGTCGACCGTCGGCCAGCCGATCGATCGCCGACGCCATTCGAAAGTGCGGCTTCGTCTTGCGCCACTGGAAGGGCGGTCGCTCCAAGCTCCGGAGCAAGCTCTGCGCTCGCTCGCGTCCAACGCCGGCAGTCGCCGGAAAGCGGACACCGCGGAACTGCACGCCGGGCCGAAATATTCGCGGAGCGCGTACGCCGGGCGAGAGGGGCAACTCGATTGCGCGCCAGACGCGATGACGCGGCCAAACTGGAAATTCGACCTCCGAAGGCCGCGCGGTCTCGCTCTTCTCCCCCCTCTCTTCGATCTTCGCGAAAGCTCGCCGGCCGCGGGAACGAGCGTCTTTGCCGATCGCGCGCGGAAAATTTTCCTCGATCGCCTCGTTGCCCGGGGAACATCGGACGCTTCCCAGGAAACGCTTTGCCGGCGTTCCGACGAAACCCCATCGTCGTTCGCGAGCGCGACAGTCGAAGGTGATCCGCGGCAAGCAACGCGGCGACAGCGCGCTCTCGACGAAAGCGAAAGCCCAGGCGCGGAGCTCCTTCGCTCCGCGCTCGCCGCGTTATCCCGGACAAGATTCGCCGATTGCCCGATACGCCGCGGCGAAACGCTCCGCGCGGTATCGCTTGGCAAATATTATTACGAACGTCGGAGTGTTACGACACGCGCGCCACGATCGTACGATGCATCGCGGCGCGCTCGACGAGATTGCCTTAATTGACGATCGTCGCTGTATTTTGAAACTTTGGCGCCGATCGTATCAACGTCTTTTCGTCGTTTTTCGCGACTTATCGCCAACTTTGCCAATCGTCGCTCGCGACTCATCGGCAAAATACTCGCATTAGGTATTTGCGCGAAATGTCGTTCGAGCGGTGACCGAGGAAAAACAGCTGTAGCGCAATTTTCTCGGAAAAAATTCATGAAAAGCACAAAGAGACGGATCGCGGCGGCTCGCGTACTTTTCCTTTTTGAAACGCTGACGCGTGCGCCGACGAGATTACTATTGCGCGCATAATTGACTACCGATCAGACGTGAATCACAGCGTAGCCACTAAAAAAGTGGCGGCAACGACAGTCGACTGTACGTGCACGAGCGCGTCGAAAATCCAGTGGTCGCTCCAACGAGGCTACCCGCGAGAGGGGCTGCGGAATACGCGCGAGGCATCGGACGTCGCTCACCCCCCTCATTGGACTAGCTGTCGCGTGCGGCTGAGTGCGTAACTCGCAGCGATAGGGAGGCCAGCCAGCCACGCAGTCACCGAAACGAACTACCTATCCATCTAAATATAAAGACGAAGCCGACCCATCCCATTCGGCGGTTACTCCACTCCATCGTTTTCGCTGCGCGCGTGCATCGTAAATATTTAGTGCGTCAATACCGAATCGAAGGCTTATTTATGAGTGGCGAGGAGAGAAAACGAGCAGCCGACGTCGGAGCAGGAGGAGCGTAGCGTCGCGCGCATCCACCTTTGCCAGAGCGGCACTCGAGCGACAATCACCAGCGTCTCTTACCTGGAACAAAAAGAGAACGGATTCGTCAGCGGGGAAGCGAGACGAGCAGCGCTGCGCCAACCGTCGCGACACCGACGAAGGAAGAGGCCGGCAGCCTTGCTCGCGTCAGCTTGGGCAGCTTCGACGAAGGCCAGCTGGCCGAAAGCCGCGCGAATTAAAAAAAGCCGGTCGTCGCGCGCGCGGCCTTCGGCCGCCGATCGCGCCGCGGACGCGCTCGCCGTTCGCACGGCGGCGCACGAGAGCAGAGTGTCGACTAGTCGCGAGCGGCGCACGCGACGAGCGCCTTTGCGACACCGCGCGCCGAGAATAGCCGATGCGCGGCCACTTTCGCCTCGATCGTTATGGGCCACGCGATTAGTTGCCGCGTTCGTCGGCGCGTCGTTGCGGCCCGCCCGAGTCGCGCGGCAGCCCTCGGAGCGCGAGGGCGAGGCGGTCGGCGAGGCGGTCGACGACCCGACCGGCCGCCGAGCCACGGACGGAGCTCGACTGCGCTTGGCCGGCGGCGCGCGCGAATTCGAAGCGCGCACGGACGCCAGTGACAACGTTGCCGGCGACCCCGCGCGATCGCGAGAAGGGCGCGTCCCCGCGGAGCCCGAGCGCCTACCGCGCTTACGTAAGCGGGCCGCCGCGCGGGTCGACGGCCCGAGCAGCGGTAGATCGAGGAAGCAGTCGAGCGGCTGACTTTCGGAGGAGGAGGGAGCGGAGGGACCGGCCGCCAGTCCCAGCGCCCGTCGACGAGCCGTGGCGGGAGCGCGAGTACTTGCCGTTCGGCCGAGGGCGCCGAGGCTGCTGAGGTCCCAGGCGCTCTTGGCCTGCTTGGGCGCCTGGAGGGGCCGCCTGCCGGGCCGCCTGCCGGGCCGGCGCAGGCTGGAGAACCAGCTGGCGGCCACCGACACGGCCGAGTCGCGGCGCTGCGCCGGCGGCGGCGGCTGCGCGGACGCCTCGTCGAGCGCGTCGACCGACCTGCCCGCGAAGATCATCGCGCGCAGATCGTCGTCCGCCTGGTCCTCCTGCTCGTCATCCGGCCGGGCCCCGCCGGCGCCGCCCGCTCGCGCGCACCTCAGACAGCCGGCGCAGCCGCTGCCGACGCCGCACCACAGTCCGCCGCTCGACGTCTTGGCCGCCGAGCTCCGCACGCCACTCGACGCCCAGCTGGCTGGCTGGCTCTGCCACTCGCGCACCTCCGCGAGCCAGCGCCTTCGGCTGCCGGCATGCGACTGGCCCTCTCTCGCGCTCGGCCGCGCGGCTGCGCGGCTGCCCGGGCAACGGCGGCGCTGCCTGCGCGCGCACTCGCGCCTTCGAAGTTGGCGCCCACCCAGCGTCGATCGACGCTCCCGCGACTGCCTCGTCTGGCCGCTCGCCCGTGCACTTGCCAATTAGACGCGATCCGCCGAGCGAGCTCGTCCGTTCGGTCGGCGAAAGGCGGCGGCACGAGGTCCGAACGGCAAGTACTGGCGACAGTTGGCCCAACGAAAACTCTGCTCTCCAGCCGCTCCGACGTCTCGCTGGATGGTAGCAGCAGTGGAAGCACCGTTCGGCCGCTGCGCTTGGCATCGGCCAAGAACGAGTTTCGTGCGAGTCGGACGCATACCTCCGGTCTATCTGGTCAAGCTCGCTTTCAACGACCGGCCAGTAGCCGTGATAGGATCATGTAGGCCGCGCGTGTAAGATGAAGCCCTGACCTCGGCTCCGTTGAATATGCATTTGACATGCTTCTCAGAGTCAAGAGCTCGCTCTATATTCCGATAGCCTCTTCACTTGTACGCAGCAGCCTTTTGGTCTTTCCGTCTTTCGGGCCTTTCAGCCTTTTGGCCTTTTATCCTCTCGGCCTTTCAGCCTTTCGTCGGCCCTGTGCGCTCTCCTTTCTTCCTGGCTTCCTTGGCGATCGCGGCTTCGACCGCGGGCCACCGGTCTTCGTCTCGTTTCGCAAGCGAGAGCACAATGACAATCGACACCAAAGCGACCAGGACCACGTGCAGCTACGCGTGC